GTTCAATACTTTTTCCCTGTGCCATTCCACATTATTACAAATAACTTCATTTCTGGACATTTATGGTCTGATTTCTTTGTATGTATGGATCACTTGGGTTGTTACCGACATCTGGTGAAAATTTTCATGTCATTAGCACCTCTAGTAATATATTTACTGAGAAAAATGGTGAAGTGTTCAATACTTATTTTACCCGCTGTATTCTCAACAGAGGAGTGGGATGTGGGTTTAGCATTTGGAGTGGAACACCACATAAGACTAACTGACAACACCCCGTTCAGAGAACGGTCACGGCGTATAGCACCTGCTGATGTAGAGGACCTTCATCGCCAACTTCAGGGGCTCCTAGCTGCCGGATTAATCAAAGAATCCAGAAGCTCGTATGCCTCACCTGTTGTTTTTGCACGAAAGAGAAATGGACAAATCCGCATGTGCATTGAATATCGTACACTGAATCACCGAACAATTCCCGATCAGTACACCGTGCCCCGCATCGATGGTGCTCTGGACTGTTTATCTGGAAGTAAGTGGTTTTCATTGTTGGATTTAAGGAGCGGATATTACCAGATTCCGATGGCTGACGAGGATAAGGAAAAAACACTTTCATCTGTCCTCTCGGATTCTTCCAGATCGAATGGATGCCTCAGGGAATCACTGGTGCTCCTTCAACGTTCCAATGGCATATGGAGAAGGCGATTGGAGACTGATGGAGGTGATAGTCTATTTGGATGACCTGATTGTTTTTGGTAAACCTCTATCAGAGCATGAGCAAAGACTTCTCAAAGTTATCGACCGATTAGGGGAAACTGGACTGAAACTGTCACTTGATAAATGCCAGTTTTGCAGACCCCAAGTGACATATGTTGGACATGTAGTGTCTGAACGAGGCATTGCTACAGATCCAAGCAAAGTGGATGCCGTTGCCCACTGGAAGGAACCCACTGATCTTCCATCACTCCAGTCCTTTCTGGGATTCTGTGGATATTACAGACGTTTCATTAAAAACTATTCGATCATTGTTAGGCCCCTAACAGAACTGTGTAAGGGATACCTGCCAACTCAAAAGAGACTGAAATCAGTGAAGACTAATGGAAAATCTACTACAAAGTCAATGAGCCCTTTGGAGAAAGATGGGATGAGAGCTGCACCTAGGCTTTTCAACAGATCCTTAAATGTCTTACCCAAGCACCGGTTTTAGCATCTGCTGACCCGTCCAAGCCCTATGTGCTGCACATAGATGCTAGTTTTCATGGCTTGGGGCAGTGCTAAACCAGAGCTTCTTGAGAGGCTAAGACCCATCATCTTTGCCAGCAGAAAGCTCAGTTCTTCGGAAAAGAACTATCCAGTGCATCAGCTAGAGTTTCTGGCACTCAAGTGGGCTGTGGTGGATAAATTTCATGATTATCTGTATGGAGCAGAGTTCGTTGTAAGGACAGATAACAACCCCCTTACCTATATCCTCACTACTGCTAAACTGAATGCTGCAGGTCACCGTTGGCTTGCTGCGCTTTCAGCTTATAACTTCACTCTACAGTGTCCTGATGCATCTCAGTAATCCAGGTAAAAAATCAAAGGAAAAAAAATTGTATAGGTCCTCTGGACGGGTTCTTCTTTAACGAAACGTTTCGTCTCTCTTCCAAGAGACTTCTTCAGTCTGAGAGTTTCAGGCAAAATTCAGGCTTTTATGTCCTGCCTCCCCCTGTTAACAAAAGGGATTAATTAGGGTGAACGATGGCCAGGTGATGTGGGTATCAGTCACCTGTGAGTCATAGCCAGGTGAGGTGAGTGGGAGTCACCTGTGAACGATGGTCATGTGATGTGAGTATCAGTCACCTGTGAGTCATAGCCAGGTGATGTGAGTGGGAGTCACCTGTGAACGATGGTCATGTGATGTGAGTATCAGTCACCTGGAGGCAGGACATAAAAGCCTGAATTTTGCCTGAAACTCTCAGACTGAAGAAGTCTCTTGGAAGAGAGACGAAACGTTTCGTTAAAGAAGAACCCGTCCAGAGGACCTATACAATTTTTTTTCCTTTCACTCTACAGTATCGGCCATGTTCTAGATGCAGATGCCTTGTCACGCAACCCAGTTCCTGATGACAGAATGGGGTTCAGGAGTTTAACTCCAGACAATGTTAAAGCACTCTGCAAGCAAGTCTCCAGAGACCAATTTTCTGAATCAGTTAGCTATGCAGAATCTCTGTGTGTTCCTCCCACTGCCCTGCCAGACTGCTATGCTTTTCCAACCCGTCTAGATCTGGGTTGTTTGAATCAGATGAGCAGAGCAGATCTCATTAAGGCTCAAGACCATGACCCCATGATTTCACCTATCAAAAAGTCCTTAAGTGAAGGATTTTTATCCCTTTCTGAGAAGTGTACTGACCAGGGTGCCGTTTTCCTGCAAAGAGAGGCAAGCAAGCTTATCCTGGTGGATGGATTACTTCACAGAAAGATCAAAAGACCACCTGGTACAGAAGTTCTGCAACTTGTACTACCTAGATAAAATGTTCACATGGTGCTCAAGTCCCTTCATGATGAATCAGGCCACCTTGGAGTGGAAAAGACACTTGAGCTGATTCGCAACAGATTTTACTGGCCTAAGATGGGGTCAGAGGTGGAGCAATATGTGAAGAGCTGCGGGAGATGCATCACACGTAAAGCCCTGCCACAGCGAGCAGCTCCATTGAATCAAATCACCAGCAGAGGGCCACTAGATTTAGTGTGCATTGACTTTTTGTCTCTTGAGCCTGACTCTAAAGGTTATGCAAATATCCTTGTGGTGACCAATCATTTTACAAGGTACGCTCAGGTGTTTCCTGCTAAAGACCAACAAGCCTCAACAGTGGCAAAGATTCTCTGTGATAAATTTTGTTCACTAGGGACTTCCAGCAAGGATACATTCTGATTAGGGATGTGATTTTGAAAGCAAGCTCATCCATGATCTACTGAGAATGTTGGGGATATGAAAGTCTAGGACATCTCCTTATCCTCAGGGAGATCCTCAACCTGAGAGATTTAATAGAACGCTTTTGTTCATGCTCGGGACCTTGGATCCCAGTCATGTTAAGACCCTTGGTTTGAGCTCTGATAAATTGCCGAGCACAACGACTGGTTTAAAATATTTATTATACAAAAGGGTATTGATGTTGGTTGTCTGGCAGGAAACTGGGACTGGACTGGTTTCTTCTGGACACAGGGAAAAGGTGTTAGTGGCAAGGCAAGATTGGAAGAATAAACTAAAAGTGACTAAGACCACTGACCTGGTGTTTACTGAAGTGGTCCGACAGGAAATACTGATGGAGTCCAGATGGTTCCGGTTCCAGGCAATGTTGTCACCGTAAGGTTTGGGTGACAGTTTGTCCATTGGGCAAAATCAGAGTCAGGGGAAAGGCAAGGGTCGAGATCAGACAGACAGAGACAGACAGAGAGAGACAGAGACAGACAGACAAACAGACAGACAGACACAGATCGACAGTATTTACCAGGTTTGAGGGGTGAAGCAGAATCTGTAAGTCCGTGAGGCAGGCGTGGGTCATAAACCAAGTCCGAAGTGTTGTGGTGCCGACAAGGAGAGAGACAAGAGGCGTAAATCCAAGACACTGAACCAGGGTCAATACCAGGAGGACAGATGGCTGGACAAATCCGTTTGGGGCTGAGGCAAAAATTGAGAGACCAAAGGAAAGGCAGAGGTTCAGGGACACAAGGCAAGAGCAAGGCATGGGGACAAGAATGCTGGTGAGTAACAGAACTAGGCTATTGACAAACTGGCAGGGAAGTAAGGCTGAGAGCAGGAATATATAATGAGGGGAATAGGTGAGTGAAATGAGCTGATTGCATGAGGGAGGGGGAGAGGTGGATCTGTAATTGGTACTGGCTGTGACAGGAGCAGAGTGGTGATTGAGAACTTGGCATGGGAAATAACTGTGGAAAGCAAAACAACAAAAACAGAGGCAGGACTGGACAGATAGGGCAAAAATCATTACAAGTCAGAAAAAAAGATGGAGTCAGAACATCAGTCAGTTGGTGTATGCCAATAATTGCACCCAAAATGAGGCCACTGGGTATTCACCCAATCTTCTGATGTTTGGAAGGGAGGCCCGTTTGCCTGTGGACATCAGTTTTGGGGTACCTGATGAAACTGTGAAAAGCCCAATTTACCATCAGTATGTCTCAAAGTTGAGGAAGGATCTGGAACAAGCTTACCGCCTAGCTAAAGAATCTGCTGACAAAAATCATCAAAGGAACAATAAGGCACATGACAAACATGTGAAAGAGAAGATCATAGAAGCAGGGGACCATGTGCTTCTGAGGAACTTTGGTGTCACTGGTAAGCACAAGCTGAAGGAGAGGTGGAGGACAGTGCCCTATGTTGTAATGGAGAAAATGCCTAACTTACCAGTCTACAAGGTGAAACCTGAAACAGGACCTGGAGTGGAAAAAGCAGTGCATCGAAGCCACCTGTTATCCATCGGTTATCTGGTCAGGCTTCCAGATGAGGTTGAACCAGAGCAAGCGTAGAAACCTGTCACTAGGAGCAGACAAAGATAGTCTGAGCCTGTCAAGCCTGTTGCTCAAGCAGAGGCTGCATTCTCTTCTGATTCTGAGAATGAAGAGGTCAACATGCCATCCTCACTACAGGTGAACCTGAGTGAGCTTTTGAGAAAATCAGAAAGTAGGACAAAAGAACCATTTTCTGCTACTACTGATGTTCAAACGACCTCACCCAGCAGGACCCTCGATGATGAAGGAGCAAATCCTAAATCACCTAACTTACAAGATTCCCTGCCCTGTCCTGATCGAGATCTAGAAGGGGGAGAAGGGGGAATTGGTGACTTAGAATGTGAGGGAGAAGCTGTCAGTGTGGAATGCTCTAGGCAAGTGAAGAAACCAGTCATAAGATTAAGGTATGATGAACTAGGACAGCTATCAGACCAGTCAGTTAATGTTCTTAGTTGTGGATTACTGGTTGGAAGTGGAAAACTTAAGGTCCCAAAACATCCTTCTTGCCCCACTTTATGGTGTCACTCTTTGGCGTTGTTTCCTGACTGTGTTGATTTAGGCCTACATGTGTCCCCTACTGTTATTTGGGTTATGTAACTTTATTGTTTGATGGGGACATCAAATGATTTAGAGGAGGGAGGGTGTAGCCCCTGGTTAAAACCAGGCACTTAAGACCTTTTGAAAAAAATACAAAATGAATACACAAAGGTTGATATTGTTTACATCAAATACTGTATATAAGTAGGAGATTGTATTATTATGTCTGCAACTGTTTAATCTCAAGGATTAGCAATATATGTTACAGATTGTGATTTTTGTTATTTATAAAGAAAAAGAGCTAAAAACAGAATAATGAAGCATTTCTGAATGTAATGTGTATTTACATGTCTATTCATGGTTGTTTGACTAATTATTTAGTCTAAGGACTTACCCGAATCTCATAGTAATGAAAGTTAGAAGAACGAGGGACAAGTGAATGCAACAGAGAAAAAAAGGAGAAACCTGTTGGACTATGGGAAGGAGAAGGGAAGAGAACATGAGAAGAGGATGAAGAAGCAGGACCTCATGGATGCATGCAGGGACTGTGGCTGGAGAAGGAACTGAACTGTTCTAAAGACTTTTCTTTGCCCAAGTTGAACCTAATCATGGAGATTAGGACCTCTGCAGAGTGCGAGGGAGGTGAGAAACACCGCAAGGACTGGCGGCAGATCCTGCGGCTGTTCGGAGGAGGCGAGAGGACGGAGCAAACATGGCGGCACGTGGTCCAGCGTGATGGAGAAGTTTTCCGCGACAGATGTGGCGGAGTTGAACTGCAAGAGTTGGCGTCACAAAGTTTCTGTGTTTGTCTGCAGAACAAACACCTGGGAGCTAGCAGGTTGGAAACTGTTGTAGCTTGGAGACGAGGATTTTCATCACCCTTGAGTTTCACACAGGCCTGCAACAAAACTTAACGGTACCAAACTGTGTGTGTGTGTGTGTGTGAGTGTGGGCCCACGTGAAATATTGTGTTATATTTAAACTGATGTTCTTGGTAAATGTTTGGAGTTCTGTTAAAGCCAATAATTGAAAAAGTTAAAATGAATGTTTTTTTCTTCAAATACAAGGTTATGGTGAGCACAGCCTGAAGGACTAAAGTGAATAAGTGCTCAAACTGGCTTATTTTACGAGAGGAAGTGTTTAACTTTAAAATTTGGGCCATTTTGTACATTTTGGGCTGCTTTTTTCTGAAACGTATTTTTAATTTTTTCTATTTTAAGTATTTATTAAAAGAAGAAAAAATTTTAGGTTGTCTGGGTTTATTTGTTAAATCAGTAATACAAATGTTAGTTTGAAGAGTAAGTGTTGACTCAACCTACATGGTATCTACCAGGTATATTAACAAACCCTAATAAACACCCCACCAATCAGCACACGTTCTGGTCCCTGATAATGCCGATCAGAGCAGCAGGGTGCAACGGTATTTTTCATTTTTATACATAGTGTTATAAATGGTACTAGCTTACCTAAGCAAACCAATGAATACACACAGACACACACATTGTAACAAAGAGTGTTGAAGAGTTTCCCCACCTGAACTGTCCAGATGATCATTTGGCATGCCTTCAAATGGTTGTTGGTTTTCAATCATCTAATCAACATATCCCCCAGGTCATCACTCTGTGGTCTAACTGGGGGTCCCCCACCTGTATTGAAATGCTCCCTTTGAGCAATGGCTGCTGTTTTCTTCAGCTGTATTTTGATGGTGCAATATATGGCCTCATATTAGCAAACATTCATTTTATTTTGAGTAATTAGAAGAATCTGTGTACTGTAAATAATATAATTAATTATTGCCTAAATCTGTTGGAGTGTCCTGTTATTTTTTTTATTTGAGTTATATTTATTCACAACTGAAGTCCATGTGTTTCATTTTTTTATTTGTGTGGTTGAATCATGATGTTTGTCCTCAATTACGGGATGTTTAGAAATAATTTCCTTCAAAAGTATCTTCTCACTTTCACTGAAGTTTTTTTTGAACACTTTCTTTTTTCTTGCTTAGTCAGAAGTCAAACTCCTGTTCCAAACACAGGCTGCTAAAATGTAGAGTAGGAAAGTTCCACCCCAGGTTTTCAGAGCAACCTCATCTTTGCACCATCTGCAGATTGTTATTCTGATTCACTTTCCAACACAGGATCTGTCTAATTCTTGATTGCCTTAGTCAGAGACTCTGCAGTCTGGAACTAGTTAATCTGAAGTTAAACAATGACTCAAAAAGCAGTTGGATTAGTGTGGATTAAGTTAGACCAGATTAGCTTAGTCCTGGTTTTATTTAAGCCCTGAGTGCGAAACCGGCCCTGTAAGTGTTTAACAGTGTGAAGAACAACCTTGTTTTTCTGCAGCGGAGAAGGGTTCACTAGAAATACTTGATTTGACTCAATTTTTTTCTTATTTCAAGAATCTTACCAAGTAAAATGTTCTTACTCCACGGGCAGAAATTTTTGACTTAATTAGAGTCAAATTTTCAGACTAACAAGACAAATAATCTTACACATTCTGAAAACAAGATGATTATTCTTACACAATCAGTTCTTGTTTAGTAAATCAGTCTCAAAACAAGATCAAAAAGACTGTTTTGGCTGATATAAGGTTTTAAAACTTGGTTAGATGGACAGTTTTTACAGTTTTTACAGTTTTTGGCTGATATAAGGTTTTAAAACTTGGTTAGATGGACAGTTTTTGCAGAGCAGCAGACCTGGGAACACAGTTTAGTTAGAGCAGGAGAGGTTGACCAGGTCAGAGGTCAGCCAGGTATGAGGGATTTACTTAAATGCTCAAAAAAAGCTTTTTTTTTTGTTCCGCTCTCAGCGGAGTAAGACACTTTTTCCTTCTCTCCTGTCCTCCCTTATCTTTCCCTGCTTTCTGCTTGGAGCCTCCTCTATGTTTTTATCCAAAACCAAAATAATGGATTCATGTTTACAGATTTGGTTTTCTGGTCTCTTAATAAATTTTTAGAACATTTTTCTTTTCTTTTCCCATGGGAGGACATGTCAAAGTTGGGACCACTGTTCTTCTCTTCTGGATATATATTTGGATTCTGATCACTGGATTCTACAGATTGGCTTGGTGGTCTCCTGGTGTTCCACAAAACAACGTCGGTGACTGTTCATTTCCTGGCTGCCTGAACGATATGAAGGATTGCTGTTCTATCAGCACTCAGACTTTTGCCTTGTGCGAGCTGGACTCGGTCTGCAAGCGGTTCTGCTGAGGGTCGCGAGCCGGCTGTGGTTTCTGGACTTTGCTGGTCAGATGGAATTGATCTTGGAGAAACTGATAGATCGGCTCGACAGAATTGTCCACACTATTTGTCTGATTGAATTCACCACCTTGAGATGTACCAGCGGACATGAAGGTGGATGGAAAATTGTTATTGTCTGTCTGGCCAAAAACATTTCTTCTGTTCCAAAACAACTGATTACAGATTGTCTCTCCCGACCCATGCTGACCTTGAGGCTGTGGATCTAATTTTTCCGAGGTGGTTACATCGACTGTGACTCCTCCCCCACCTCTCCCCCCTCTCACTCCGTCTAATGTGATTTCCTGAAGGTCAACCTGGAGCTGGCAGAATGAACAATTCAACACCAATATTCTGAACTATGGCTGAACTACGGGTTTTTCTTTTGGGAAGCTGGGTTCTTCAGACTATTTCCTCTAAACTCACTTACTCCTCTGGCTAATAAATGTGCTCTTGCTCGTAGAGGTTTTTTTATAAACACGATAGTGTATCATATTTCGTTGATATAATGTGATGTTTTGTTTTATTTTTTTTACTTATCTAACCTTCTGTTGTATTTCGTTTTTTCTTTTAAAGGTAGCACAACCCCCAAACCACCCAGGGACCCGCATGCGGCCACCAGCAGACATCCCCAGAACCCCCGTGACCCTCCTCAGGGCAAGAGCAGGGCATCCCCCGCCCAGGTGTCCCAGCAGCCCAGCCCCCGACGGCCCCCCTGACACCCCAACCCCCAATACCCCCCCCACATCAGCCCCAATGCCCCACAAGGCCCGATTCCAACCCCCCCACCCCCACTATGTGATAAAGCCGATTAAAGGAGCCCAGAGAGATTTAACTGATGAGTCGGCAGATGCTGTTTCAAACGTAACATGATCTAACAGAAGATTTTTGTACTGATTAATACTAAGATTCTTTTTATTTTTCCAATTCAGGAGTATGGTTTTCTTTGCAAAGCAAATTGAAGTTGCAACCTAAATGTTTAGGAAGCTAGCTAAATATTTAAGTAATATATTTAGGTAGCTAGCTAAATATTTAAGTTGAATATTTAGCTAGCTACCTAAATATTTAAGTTGCAACATAAATATTTAGGTAGCTAGCTAAATATTTAAGTTGCAACCAAAATATTTA